GCTCGCCCTGCCTTGAGCTGTTCAACGTTAGTCTATTTAATGCCTCACAGAGAGGCAATTTTTTCCCTCCCGGTGAGAACCTAAGAAATGAGCTTAGCCAGGACAGTAAGCTGGTTTTGGCAAACAGAGCGGGAGATTTCCAGTGCAGAGCATCAGGCGAATCTCAGAGCTTGGAAGGAAAGTGTAGGTCACCATCCTTTCAGATACTTAGCTTCTGAAAACAGCCCTTCCCCACCTAAAACACAAGAGAATATCCGTCTTCCTAAAAATGACTGATAGCTACATCTCTCTCTCTCAGAGAACTTTACTAGCAGGGCCTAACAGAGTAAAATCCAAATTTCTAAGCCCAAAAGTCAAAGTGCTGTGCAGCCCGCCCCAGTCTATGCCCCCAAATTGCCATCTATTGTTAAGTGAAACCACGCCCAGTTTCCAGGAACCACTTGTTTCCTTGATTCCATGTCCACCTCTATCAGGTTAATTCTCCTCCCCCATATAATTTTCACCTCCCTTTTCCCTTATCTGTCTCTATTTTGGGATCTTCCATATTTCAGTTCTACTGCCAGTCAACAACCAGCCAGTGCGCATCTACTTGGAAGGGAACATCAAGCTTAGGAGGTGGAACAGCATGTCGGACAGGTGAAGACACAACATAATAGAACCAATGGAAACAGAAGAACAAAAGCATGGTAGGACTTCAAAGCAAGATGATATTAAATCAGCAATGGCTGCCATAATGTCTTGTTTTCTTCAAAATAGCTGTTCATACCATTACATATAATAAAATCGAACAAAAAATAAAACCATTCCAACTAATGAATGAAGACATTATAAGGCTTCAAAGCAACATAATGGGGAATCATGATTACCATAAAATCTTATGTACTCTTACCATTTCTTACACTAGGGAGACTATATGGTATTTATACATGTGAGTTTGATTTGTTTCGCTTATGAGTATGGTCTCAAGTTGCGTCCATTTATTTATAAATATCTCAATTACACATTATCACTTAACGTGAGTATCTATTCATTGACAGTATCATGGGACAGCTGAAGAGCCATGACACTAAAATAAGAAAAGCTTATTGTCACCTTTAATCAAGCCCTGGAAGCCCCAGATGTCACATTTGTAAATTATAAACACTACCACTGACCTCTCTCATCAAAGGAAGTAACACACGAAAACACAGTTTGTAAACTGTCAAATATATTTCTGCAATTACTCAGTTGGTACTCAGGGAACATGAGTACTTCACAGCTCCCTCAGAGAAAGCAGCATCTTAGAAGCCAAGTGTGTTATGTCAGCAGGCATGACTACTTTCCAGTGTCTCTACCAAAAGGTTATCCAGTGACAGGATTATTGTCTTTGCATTTTTCTAGTTGTGACAACATGAATTCTTATGTTTTTGTTAAAGGAAATTTGGACTTCATGAACAAAACTCCCAGAAGGTCATTTTATTTTCTCACTAGGAAATGTTAAGAATCCATTACAACAGTGGTGAACCTGCTGGCCCAACCACCAAGGGATGTTTCTTTCTTTCTTTTTTTTTTTTTTTTTTTTTTTTTGGCAAAAGGCAGGGGTCAGAGGAAACAGGAAGGCAGAGTGCAGACTGCTGGGGGGAAAGAAAAGTCATTATAGTTAGAAATCTGTTACAAAGGCAACTCCACTCAATATAGTCTGGATGCCGTATTGGTATCATTATTCATAAAAATAAGCTTACTCTAGAAGAATGATTTCCTTAGATATCACTTTCACTGGGGCCTTATATACACAGCCTCATTAAATGGAAATTCTATTTACTATTTTCTACCAATGAACTCAAGAATAGTGATTGCTCGGCTTAGTACCCCAGAAGAAGCATCGTCGGCCCCCTCATATCTGACAGAGCAGAGCAACAACAGAGAAGCAGCGCGGAGGACTGGGGGATGCGGCCCAGCGCCTGCTGCAGAACCACTCTCTGTGTGTTTATTTCTACCTCCACGCAGTGGACCAGACGACCTGGGCCCAGGGAGGGCACGGAGCCACGCCTGCCCGATGGGCATAATGAAATCAGGATTCAAGCCCACACGGACTTAGTGTCATTATCTGTATCCCTCTCTCTATCACCCGGCCTTTTTAGAAGGCTCAGCTCCACGAGGCCGCTCACAACCCACCTACACATGCCAGAGTCCAGAGGGCTAAGTGCACAGATGACCCAAGGAAATCTAAGGTTTCATCTTAGCTAAGTGACTCACTGTGTAACTAGAACCAGTTCACTTACCCTCTGTGCCTAAATTTCCTTATTGATATTCCTTCAAAAAAAAATGTAAATCACCATGCAAATATTCAAAATTATTTCCAGTGTTCTATTATCTAAATGGACCATTAAGGTGCCTTACTTATGAAATGCACATGGCTTTCTGATATTACTCTGACTCATCAGAGCACCAGTCCACAAACTGCAGAACTCAAGTCATGTGTAGCCCAGGGACCACTCTGGCAGCTCAGAGCCCCCCGTCTTGTGCTTCCTGTCTCTGACTGACACTGTGACAACAGAGGCCAGGCTCTGTAACAGAACAGGGCCCTCGAAGTCCAGTGTGTCAGCTCTCCGCTTCATTACCAAACACAGCTGGCAGCCTCTGCCTTGCAGAAGTCTTCAATAACAGAGGCCAGAGGCCAAAGACGTCTATCTGCCAGCAAGTCATGACAATTTGAATTTTCCTCGAATTACAATATTTTCCGTATACATCTTATTTTTCAAAAGATTTACTATAGTACAAATATATAGAGAAAATAAATTAGAAAACTACCCTTGTAAGTAATAAAATGATACTGAAGTCCAAAAAACATATATGTATGTAACTGAACTGTATTACTTTTTGTAATTTTGAAGATTCACCATCTAATTTCTTCAAAATCATCATTTCTCAATAAAGACAATTATAAAACTTATCCCTCAAATTATTCTAATATTTGAACTAAAGTATAAATAGGAGAGGAAAACAGCTCAGGACATAAATGAATTATTTCCCATGATTTCCAGTGTGCAACTACCGACTACAGACTTGTTTAATTTTTAAAATGCTTAAGCTTTTAAATTTTAAACTACTCTTCCAGTTCTTTTGTGCAGGGTTGGGTTCTGATTTTGAAATGCTTTTGTGAATAATTTTGTTCCACTTTGTATTTTGAATAGGCGATATGTGTTTTGTTCCTAAACATCTGGTTAATTGCCAGAAAGGAAAGTGTACAGCGTGTTTTAACAAGCAGACTTCCTGTTTCTCAAAGCCTTCAAATATTTAGTTTCAAAATGAATTCACTGTAAGCCAAAAAATTACCACCCATTTGATTACTTTATCGTTGCTACTGTAAAGATTTACCATAAATGCCAACAGGAGGAGTGACCTTACTGTAGATGCAAAGGAAGGAAAGCAGTGCTGAGGGAGGCACCCAAGAAAAGAAAAGCAGGAAAAGCCACGAAGCCCAGAATGTATTGAAACCTGTTCCCTTTCTTTCCCCTTCTTGTCTACAGTCCTCAAAAAAAAAGTCAGAAAAAAAAAATACTTATTGCTGATAAAAAGTTACATAATTTTAGAGGTGTATTTAATTTTAAGTATCACTACATAAACCCATTTATTTTATGGATGGGAAAAGTCGAGGCCCAGAGACACTAGCTGGCATGGCCTGTGGATTACTAGCTAAGGAGCAGGGCTGGGACCTGAGACCAGTTTCCTGATCCTCAGTTCAACACACTTCCCATTAGACTCGGCTCCCTGCCCTGCTATGTGTAATGTGCCATTTGGCACCAAACTACTAAAATTCTTCTTAAAATATGCCCAAAGAACCCCTATCATAGCCAGGAAAGTTACGATACTTTTAAATTGTATCTATGAACACATGCTGGGTTTTTTTCCCCAAATACAGACAATTAAGATTACTGCTTCAACCTCATAAGGGTTGGGAGTCACAATAAAATAACCAGAGAGCTAAAAAGGACTCCAAGCTGCCCTTTTAGTTTGTCCTGATGGAAATCAGTCTGAAATAGACACGCTCTTTCCTATACTCCCCCTTAGACACACACTCCCAAGACTAAACAGCAATATTCCATAAAAAGACCAGATCTAGCCAGTGTTATTATCTGTCTGACATTTGGGTTATTCTTGTGAGTAACTCATAAAGTAACGTGGGTGTCTGTGATTATTTGAGTACGCATGGCAAGCCATAATTGGTCAAAAAATAATAAAGGCATTTTTTTCGGTGACAAAAATACTGTATTGCATGACAACATGGCACTATGAGAGCTTGCAGTAGACCACAATACTTTCTCCATTTACAAAAATGTAAAAAAGAAACAAAAAATTGAAAAAGAAGCAGAAAGCCTTCTTGTGCAGTCAGAACTACTTGTTCATATTTAAAGTTTTAAAAGCTTACAATAACCCACCAGCCTATCTTCCCCTAAACTCATCTTGTATATCAATTTATAATTCAGCCTCAGGATACAGAACAGAAATGTGAGAAAAGATGCAAGTCTGTAATCCCTTTCTACAACCAAAGCACAGGTTTTTTGACAAGTTTTATGAGATTCTATGTAAAGATTCTGGTTATTTACAAAGTGAAGTTTTAAATTTCATCACAGCCTTCCAAACTGTATAACGTCAGTTAAATCTAATGCAAATGTTATACATCAGTGTGGGCTGATCAAATCAGAAGCTGACCAGGGCAATATATGCAGAAGAGTCTCCCCTAAAATTGACTCTCTCCTGTCCTACTATAATGCATTCCCCCACCACGGCTGAGGAAATGCTAAGCAATAAGGGGAAATATTCTAGTTGCCATTTCCCTAAGAAACTAAAACAGGTTTTAAAAATTATTCTGAAAGTCACTTAAAAGATGTCTTGAGAGAAGCATATTTGTACTCACAGACAGAGACCCATTCAAGCAGAGAGCAGTGTGAATGGAAGGGTGCCTCAGTGCTACAAAGCTCTACTCCGTAAGGACAGTGAGGGACCGTGGAGGAACTCACCCACTCGGAAGTTCGTGGCTGTCAGGGTGTCAGCAGCATGACCATTCTCACTAATGAGAGTGGTGGTGTTCCCCTTCTCGCAGCTGTTCTGACAGCTGCCTTTCGTGCAGGTCACTTTACAGATGCTCGGAGTAAAGACCACCTTGATGCGACCAGTGTGGTTACTCACTAGGAGCGGAGGCAGAGAGAAAAAGAACAACAAACACATCAGCTTAGTATCCATGAACTTGTCCTGGAAGGTTTCAAAGAAAAAAAAAATGAAAAAAGCAAAGAAAGGAAAGGAAAAGAGCAAGAAGGGGAAGGAGAGAGCCCACAGCCCGACAGGTTTAAGGAAGAGGGAAGTCTTTAGTGCTTGCTGCTCTGTATCCAGTGGCGTCTCTGAAACAGGAGTGGGAAGCTCAGCAAACAGAACTCTGGGATGCACTCCAAAACCACATTTGAAGTCGAGTCACTGGAGTGGGATTACTAACCACAATGCTGCACTTTATTCACGGGCAGACAAAGAGCAACACGGAGGGCACGACAGATTAAAGAGCCAACCCTGACAGGCAGATGTAATGCAAAGAGGTTGGCCACGCACCTAGTGGTGAATAAACTCTTGTGTCCTCAACTTGCATACTTTCCTTGTTTCTCCACTTATTAAGTCACTATTTGCAGCCCGACCCCTGGAAATGTTTTAGGCATGCGGCATGTCTGAAAACATCTGTCTCAAATCTCCTGGCACTCTCAGCTGAAGTGATCAAATCCTGTGACGCAGCTGCAGGAGCCCAATTCTTTTTCACGACTCCAGGGCATTATTTCTCCATAGGAACCTATGCAACATATATTTTGTTTTACCGTGCAGAGGGCCAGGATCACAGGAATGAAGGGTTACCTCTGACAAAATACCATCCTGGAGCGCTCATGATTGCTATTCACAGAGCACCTGAGGCAGGTGTTGCCTTCATTCACAAGATTCTCTTCTAAAAACCAAATGCTATAATCTGACTACCTAGGGAAGGCAGCCGAGAATCATCAAATGGGAACTAAACTAAAAATATACTATGGCTTACAATTCTGGCTAAACTCTGGGGTGACTTTGGGAATGTCACTTCACATTTGTCCAAAACATCAGAGAACTAGAGCTAATGTTTTCAGTTGTAACTTTCAAAGTCTCTCTGAAGGGTCAGCAAGCTACAGCCCAAAAGCCAAACCTGGACCACTGCTTGTTTCTTTTAATAAAGTTTTATTGAAACAGAGTCACACGCATCATTTACACATTGTCTCTGTTTTTGTGCTGTGACACCATAGCAGGGTTGCACAGGGGTCCTAGGAAATCACTCAGACCCGCTGTTCAAAGCCAACTCCCAACTTAAACTCTGGCAGACAGCAGTACAGAACCCCTGATTTGACTTCTATATAAGAGACACCCAGGGCCAGGTCTTTCCTCTTTCCTGGAACCCAGGAAGAAGGTAAAGATGGGAGCAGCAGCTAAAGAGAGAAAGTTTGTTTACAAGCCTTGAAGTCTGGTGAGAAGCAGTGCTCAGCTTGCTCCACTGCTGGGATTTTTTTTTTTTTTTTTTCTTTTTATCGGTATCGGGTATTGAACTCACAACTGCCTGCTTGCAAGGCAGGTGCTTATGCCGCTGAGCTAAACCCCCAGGCCTTAGCTTGCTCCACTGTTAATGGCAGTGGCCAAAGGGGACAGAGGCCCCAGGTCAGCCTTTTTCCTGCCATCTATGCCCACCAGAAAAGCTCCTCCCCTCTGCAGTGTTCTTGTTTAATTAGTATTTTCAGAAAATCATCCAGGATGCATCTAGCAACGAATTAAAATATAGTCAAAATCTGAGCTTAGAAACAAAACTTTAGAATTAACCAAAGAAGTCATTAGAATTTCGAGGTCAGTACCTTGAGGTTTTGCTACATGACCACCTTTCACCCAATGCTTGCATCCCAGGTATCAAGCAGTCAGCTAACCTTTATTTGCACATCTCTCATGTCAGGGAACTCATTACCAGTACATAAATTTTAGGAGTGGGCAGCTCCTAACAAACACATTCTGCCTGAAGCTGAAATCTGTTCTCACAGTAACTTGGGCCCATTAACCTTAAAGCAGACCCCCACCCAGCCTCACAATCTAATGCTTCTCTCACACGACGGCCTTTCAAACATGAAAAACACGAGCCACATAATCAAACAATGTTAAAGCTAGAAGGACTTTGAAGCCAGCAACTGGTTGGCCCTCTTAAAATGATTCTTCCAGAAGAAAAGCACCTGTTTTTTCAAGTAAGTTTCTCCAAGCCCCAGTGATTTTTTCTATGTCTTTGTTTTTGTTTTTGATGGTACTGAGGACTGAACGCAGGGCCGTGCATGTTCTCCCAGCAGCTCTTAGAATGGAGATGAAGACCAGCTAAGTGAGGTGGAGGGTACAGGATTCAAATGGCCAAGCCAGCCTTCTCGCACCTTGCAAAATGACAACCACTAAGAAGATACTACCAAAACTCTACGTCACAGGTTCCCAAAGCTTTTCTAGAAAGGGTAATATGATAAATATTCTAGGATTTCAGGCCAAAAGGCCACCAGTGAAACCATTCAACCCTGCTATGGTAACTGGAAAGCAGTTTATCAAAAACAACATGCAAGTGATGGGCGTGACTACACTCCAATGAAATTTAGAAAAGGATTTGCTGCCCGCTGCTTTAGATGCTTGTATGCTATTTTGAATGATCTAGATGTCTACTTTAGAAATTCCAAAAGATACAATATTGACTGCTTTCACAAGGGCACACAATTTACCTTATTATCTGCACAGTAGCACAAACAAATCGTGTAGTCACTGTTGCCAGACCACATTTAACGAATATCTAGAGGATGCCTGATGTGTGCAAATGTGGGAACACCAAGAGGAAAAAAAAGAGACAACATCTTCTTACTTCAGAAGAATATAACTATTTCTGCTGGCTCTTAGTACAATAATGAAATTAGAAACCGTGTGCCAACTATTTTGTCTTCTCTGGCATTAACATGTAGTACCAGCAGCTGCCAGGCAAATGCCCAGTCACCTAAATTATGCTCACTTAGGCAGATGGAGACATCCAAGGAAAGCAAGCACTTAATCATGATTCCCATTTCATCTAGCAGCTACAGTAGTCACTTTATAGGCACTTGAGTTTCTCCAGGTCTATTGTTTTTAAATCTTATATTTCTTTGCCAAAAAAATTTTTTTTGGCCTTGGCCTAGAATCATCTGGATTTTTAAAAGGCAGAGACAGTTTTATGTGGCTTAATTCTAATTCTGATTTTTACAATGTTCCCATTTTCTTGAAAGCAGAAGATATATTTTATTTTACATTTTCCCTAGTGTTTTACAAGCAGTCTACTATACAATAATTTCATTCTAAAACAGACAACCGTTTTTCCAAAAGGTCTTCTTGTCTCTTGATGAAGTATTTCGGTCTTGATAACTAGCTTTAGGTTTCCACATCAGTCTTTTCAAAATCAATGAAAAACTATGTTGACACAAAGGTTTCCACATCAGTCTTTTCAAAATCAATGAAAAACTATGTTGACACAAAACTGTCATTCGGAGCTCTAATGAGATTTCCATAAATATTGAATGAATTAGAAAGAACATTTTTCCTACTTCATAAAATCATTTCAATTTATCTGGAGTAAGAAAGCTGACATTTTAGAATACTGTACAAAAACACTAAGGTCCACCACTGTGAGCTTCAAATTCCTCACAAGTGACAGGCTGAAGCATCTTCCTCAAAGGACTTGGAATGAGTTAATACCTGAGGAACTCTGGGGTCTTGTATACAGTGCCCAGTAAGCATGGAGTAAAAGACATGAGCAGGAAGTGTCTCTGAGATGGGGGTGACCGCCGAACCTCACAGAGATCCAGGAGTCACGGCACGCTGCAGAGTATTGTCACCTAGGGTTCAGATTCACCAGTAAGGAATCAACCAAAGACTAGTAAGTGGCAGGAAAGGATCACTGAGAGGCCCTTCCTTGCTGCTCAGGAATAACAAATTTGAGACACAAAAGCTGGGCCGCTCAAGAGTTAATAGGGAAAGCACTGGACAGTTTCTTATGTTTGGTCTCCCTGAAAGAAGAAAGTGTAATTTTTAGATCCTCATAGGCAAATCAGTCCTAGAAATCTCAAGCGAACACTTATAAACCTTGGGCTTTAGAGGCCCTGGCTAGAAACAGAGATTGCCTAGAACCACGCAGCACCTCCACCAGGCCTCCTAGTCAAAGACACTCGAGTCAACATCCTGTCTGCAGCTACTGCCAGGTCCTGTGTGACTTTATACCTCCAAGAAGAGGCATTGGCACACGGCTTACAACAAACCTCAGATGTTCAGAGCGAATGGAGAAAGGGATGGGACTAAAGCTGATACCAACCCCGGATTTAAAAGTAAATACTTTCATTTCTTCTGCACCATCATTAACAAAAATTTCAAAAATGTGAAAATTATTCTTGACAAATACATTTCAGTCTAGAAAAGAGTATAGCTCCCATCTTTCAGTCATTAGACCAAGACATGACCAAAGCAAAGGCAGCCAAAGAAACAAATAGAACAAGACTCGCATCACGTGTCATCAATCAACAGTCTCCTCAGCATTCACGCAGATTGCTGTGACAGCACATTAGCGTTCCCCAGCTTACACAGCAGGCACCACCCAGCCAGGTAATGTCCCCTGAGGAGAGTCAGCCTCTCCATGGTGAAAGCCACCACCCTGCACATTAACTGGGGATTGAACAAAGAGACCAGGGCACACATATTCTTCTGGCTGTGAGGGAAACTGAACCAACAACTTGTGCTTTCACTTGTCGTCCACTGCTTGCCCCAAGGGCAAGAATTCTTTTAAGGACAAATCACAGAAGTTTTAAATAATGCTTAAAATAACATGACTTTTATTGTTCAGCTCTCTAGACTTGTTTAACTCCTCCTGGACTATTAAAATAATGTCCAGAATGTGCTCTGTGTTCCTGAAGAAAGGTGGCATGTAAGTAAAAAGCACTATCAAATCGATTACTTCATTGGCCACGTCAACCCTGGAGAAAACCCTGCAAGAGGGAATCTCAAATGAGATCTCAAGATAACTCTATGTCTTGTGTTCAGGTGGGAGCAACTGAAGAGGTCCAGAAAAAGAGCCACACAGGTGACAGAAATCTAAGCCACA